TTCCCAATAGCATTAGGAATAGGACCTTGCAAATTGTTGTAGCTGATATCAAGGTAAATAAGACTACTGCTGAAGTTAAACAACCAAGGGAATCCCGAAGAAGAGGAGTGTTTATTTCCATCAAGAGAAAGATCAGAAAGAAAATTAGAAGCATTGACCATTGAAGGTAAGGGATCAACAAGTGGAGCTAGGTGACAGTATGACATGAATAACAATTGGAGACAAGTTAGTTTACTCATTGTTGGTAACCAATCAGTTGCTAACGTGAGGTCAACATAACTCAGGTCAAGGTATCCCAATGAATGAAGTGGAGAAAGACAATTAAGGTTTGAGCTTGTTAACATGGAATTGCTGCCGACACTAAGACGTTGCAATTCCGAAAGGTTGCCAAGGTGATGCGGAATGTGACCTCTGAAATTAGAAAAGGACAGATTAAGGTACTGTAATCTGCCTGGGGAGCCAATGAATTTTGAAATTTGGCTACCGTTGAAATCATTATAACTGAGGTCTAAATTATTCAAATTGCGTATTTCAAGCAACCATGGGCTGATGTTACCTCTTAGAGAGGCAGTAGGCAAGAGTCCATATTTGTCTGATGGACCATGAAGATCCAATGCAATAACATGATTAGTGTGGTTTTGACAATAGACACCTTTCCATGTGCAACAATCCTTCTTATCCTCATGGGTTCCCCAAGAAGTTAGTCGGCTATATTCATCAACAAGTTCGTCTTTGAACTTGAGAAGAGCTTCTCTTTCCCTCTCTAAGCACCTGATTCTACCACGCTTCACTAGCAAAGAGTGTCCAGGATAAGCTCTAAAGCTTATTAACAGAACAATAACTAACCAATGGATATGTTGATATAACATTTTACCAATCATCATTTTGAGAACAAGTATGAACTCAATTATATGTTATTGTGGTATTCTTTACCATTTGAGCAACATTATTTATAAACTATGAGTTGGTGTTACTGTTATTCAGAAAAATCATCCAATCAGCAATAATGCATTGGAAACTCTTTATAACTGGTTCCAAAAGGTTAAAAAAGCAAAAAGACTTGACTTCTCTGTATAGGTCTTGTCATCTAGGGGAAAGATTATTTAGTTTAGCACCCAATGACACGTTTAGTCAAGTTGTTTAAATCAAAGTCTTTATTCGTGATCGACTATTCGTGTTAAAGTTTAGACGTTAATTAGTGTGACTGCTTCACAAGTTCAAGGCATAAATGCTCCATTTATAGAAGAAAAAGACTTCTAGCAATATCACAGTATATATAAATAAGTAAATGAAGAAAATAAATAGTTTGAATGCATGAAGTGCAGATAAGAAAATAAATATGTTAGACTAGTATAAAGTTTTCAAGTTTCATTCAACATATTTCATTCTTTACAGATTTAAGTGAATTCTGGCAAAATACTACGATCTCTTGTCAATAATTTCTTGCAGGATTGAAGCGAGTACAGTCCTATCTTTTTGTTTTCCCCTCCCAGGAAGGGATGGACTAAATTTAATTAAAAAATGCATTCCTTCAATAACAGTTTAAACTTTCAAATGAGATGGTTCAACGTATTATATGAACAAGCAAATATCAAATATCAGTAGTTTGTTCAAGTCTCACTGCCTTCCATTTATAAAAATTGTGCAAGTGTTAAGACATTTTATAAAGAAGTGAATCAGGTAGGCTGACACGTAAAGGGCCCATCGAAGACTTCAATTTGAGTAAATAATGTGTCCTCACTCAAAAAACTTGGGTCTACATTATAAAAAGCAACAAGCACTATAAAGAAAGAAAAGAAAATTCAAAAAGCAAAATAGTCTTCCAACTTGCTAGGTAAAGACAGTGCAGCTAAGAAAAACAAGAAAGGAAATATGAGGAAAACAACTTGTGCAGACATAGAAACGAGAATGGTAGAGAATTATTTTCTTTAACCACGCAAATCACGAAAAAGACGTCGCAAGATACGTATAATAATGGATTTTTGTAAAAACAATATTTCTAGACAAAATATGAGTTTCCACGCAAGTCACAATTTTCTACAAAGAAGAATTGCTTGGTGTGTTTATTGTGTTGCTTGACTCAAGACTTACCGTGCTTTATCTCTCATCTTATCAACAATTTACGAAATTTTTTGACTGAAAATTGCATGTAATAAATAAGTTACAATGGTGGTATCTTCAAAACTTGAAAAGGTAGCGATGTTTTTGCACATCTGAGTATAGTCCGATCCCACTTGTATTGTATTTGGTCAAATAAGCATAGGTGAATTATCAATCCTGCTGTCCGATCCAACCCGCCTTTCGCATACATGTGAGTCAGTGCAGTAGGAGCATTCACATATGACTCTAATTCCTGTCTAATGAATTGATCTCCCAACCTCAAAATTCCCAATAGTAGTAGATGCAGGCAAGTCCACAACCACAGTAACCACAACGGGCATATTTCTACCTTTTGCATCAACAAAATCAACCTCCAACACTGCTTTAGCCTTCCTGCAGCAAACCAATTCCGTATTGGGCATTCGATCAAACATATATGCAACTCATCACATTTAGCCCCCTGTTTGAGCTCCCATTCTCAAAAAATTTATTTTTCCTTAAACTTATTTTCAACCACGCAATGTTTCAATTTAATTATTTAGCACATAAATTCAAAACCTTTTTTTTTTCTCCTGAAAATTACTATTACAAAATTTATTATCCCCAAATATTGGGGTCAAACAGCGGCTTAGTGTGCAAATTTACGATAGTCATACATGTCAAAAAAATTGTCCAACGACTGATACTTATGCGGTAAACTTTGAAGCCAAGCCATGTTTAAGAGTAAATGTATTTATTTCACTAAGTACTAGTTTCGATGCATCTTTCCCGACGTAAAATGCATAATATATGTCAAAAAGAATAATGTTATCTTGTGTCAGTGGTGCTAAAACATTATTCTAGGTAGCTTTACTTTTATGTTCAATTATATGAGTTATACAACTTTGCATTTAAATAAATCTATCATATAATTATCACCTAAACTTGTGTTTAATATCACTGGATATGAATAACATTACTCTGTCAAACGAGTTGTCCTACATTGAAAAACCAAAAAGATTAAGGTAATTGGCATAAAACACTACTATCATCTTCATGATTTGCGCAAATCAATCGTCTCCTTTCATTTTAACGTAATACACCCTCGAATTAACTAAACCTCATACAAAACGACTCTACCATAAATTTATCAATTTAATCCTTGTAAAATGACTAATTTACCATTTTCTATAAATAATTACAGTTAGAGTCCCAAACAAGTTCCAATTAAAAAAGTTTAAAATAAAAGGAAAGAAAATTAAATATTTCAATATTAAAAAATTCTCTTTATTGTTCAACCAATTCCACCAACCCCGTGCCCAACCTCTTTCCACGATACTACCTGTTTTAAGTTATTGTGTTTTTTGTGCTCAATCAAACACCTCTTTGTATTTTAAGTGTAGAGAAAAATTTTTGTGACTTTGACTCGAAAGAATTATTGATCTTATTATCGACCTTTATTTTTACATCGTTGGTCTTTCTACACTAATCTTATAAGTCCTTGAATCTGGAGTCAACTAAAAGAGCACTATAATTTTCATCACAAATTTGGAAATGTATGACATTTTTTATCGTATTAGGGAGTTGATTGCATTTGAATAGAGACGGAGACTATACATTTAAAAATTTTCTCAACTAAAATTTAATTGTCTCTCATGAGTAAAACTATTTTTGGTGACATTATAACTCATGGTATTAAAAATTATTAAACTCTATTACTATATTTGATTTTTTAGTAGTTAATTGATGTTATATGACTTTTCTTAAGCTGATATAAAAATAGGAAAAATTACAACTGAGCCCCCAAATCTTTGCCAAAAAGTGCATTTACATTCCTTACCTTTTAAACCAAGCATATAACCTTTTACTTTTGTATCATTTGGTCCCTAGAAAAAAGATCAAATCACAAGTTTCCAAACAAAAAGAAAAGCAATCATGCTCGGTGTACAATTTTATTATTATTATTATTATTTTTTTTTTTGCCCACCTAAGCCATATTATTCATTGGATGGACCATAACTTTCATGTTTCATCGCAAGTGCCAACTCCACCATCAAAACAAGCAATTGACAAGTATTAGAGACGTTTTTGTTGTGGTGTCGGATTTCGTCTCCCCCATTCTGCACGCTAGGAGAAATTATGGGATGATGTCTACTTCATTGTTGGACTGGCATTCCAAAGGGGTCCTCCAGTCGTATCATGTTTGGTCCCCATTTTGAAATATCCATGTATATATATGCCCTGTTTGGTGGGGATTAAATCAGATTTTTAGTGAATTTTAATAAAAGTTGATGAGATATGTGGTTGAAAAGTTATGGTTCCCATAAAATATGTAATTTAAATTAATTGTTGACTTTGACTTCAATTAAAATACGGATTTTAACTTCTACTAAACAGGAGCATAATAATGATGATTTCATATGAGCAAAAAGTAGTCAGAAATTTCTATCTTTTTTTTTTTTTTTTTTTATCAGTATAAACATGATTAAAGGATTCATCAAACTATTGCTATTTGTACTCTCTCTTTGCGTGAAACAAACTTCATAATCTTCTTCTGGAGAGGTTAGGTGTATAGAGACTGAAAGATGAGCACTTCTCAAGTTTAAGCATCGACTTATAAATGCTTGTGACGTTCTCTACTCCTGAGGAAATGTAAAAGTCAGAAGGGAATGCTGCCAATGGTATGGAATCGAGTGTAACAAAAAAGGTTAAGTAGTTCATCTTGATCTGCGTAGAAATTATGAACATCTTCTGAGAGGTAAGGTTAGTCCATCGTTGCTTGAATTGAAGCATTTGAATTATTTGGACCTCAGTGGTATCGATTTTGGAGGAAGTTGTTGGGAATTTATTTAATCATGCTCAGTGGAAAATAAAATAAATTTCCATTCCCAACAAGGATTTTCTTTGTACTTAGAGAGAAATTGTGATAAAAAAATTATACTTTTGATGAATTCCTTGAAGAACGGTTCTGGTCTGCAATCCACAACTATCCAATTATCCAGCCTCCAATTGAAATTCACACATGGAATAAGATTGAGAGAATTAGGATTTTTTTTTTTTTTTTGCTAGAAAGAATGTGAAATTATATTCTCTATTGATATTTTCAAACCGTACCAACCTATTAATATAAATCTAGGTGGACTTGGCTCGTCTCTTAACTTAATTTGATCTATATTTAATTAATTCAATTAATTAATTTTGGTCAATGAACGAATTAATTAATTCTGGCCTATTAACAAGAACCCAATTAATTATCTAAACATTTGTCAATTAATTAATTACTAAATCTCATTCTTCTAGTTCTCATTTTATGTGTGACCCATTAGATTCTCAATCATGATATCTAACAACTTGAATTATTATTTTGATCTAATCAAAATCGATAAATTAAAATACCCTTTTTTAATATGTTACCAATTCACATTCGTCATCTCAGATTGACATCTAGTAAGGTGTCAGGGTAATACGTTTGACGAGAAATGTCACGTGATGTGACAAAATCAAACTTGTTCGTTTATTGTGAAACTATAATCCTTTCGTCAACACGACCCGATTAATTACGAGATATGAATATATGTTAATCTCAATTATCGATTACATCTTTCATTCTATTATTAAGTCAATATAAATTGAAAACTTATTTTCGACTTATGAGTACACCTTGATCAAGGATTTCGTTAGCAACTTAACTAAATTAACTGTAGATCATAATCACTTACTATATAAGAGTAACAAATTCTTTATTGATCATTCACAACTTTCATATGATTATTGACATATCCGAACGATG